CTTCTGACAGAACATTACCATTGTAGACCATATATGTTATTAATATAGTCCTGTGAATTTAAAAAATGACTGTATATCTGGAGTTTTTTTGAGCTGGAATGAATCTATGGTGTTAAACATGCTGTGTTTGTCAGCATCCAAGGCCCAACTTTCAGATAGCTGCTAATATCTACATAATTCTGTATCAGATAAAAAAAGTGTAAAAATTAAACCTTGTGTTCCTCAGTGCACAGATGCAAGTACTTCTCGTCCCCCTTCATGGTGTTCTGCATTTCTGCATGGAGCTCTTTCAGTCGAGACTCAATGTTGGCCACCTGCCGGCCTAGGTCACGCCGTCTCTCTTGTGCTGATATAAATCTCTCCTGAAAATATCATGGGAAGGACTGTACATTACCATCGCACGATTTGAGGGGTGGGAGGGGGGTGGGGGAAGGGGGGGAGGGGACCCTTCGTGCAAAGTTTCAAAGTTAGGACGTTAATAGTTATCGAGATATTAATTTTTGAAAATTCGAAAAATATAACCTCAAAAAATCATTTTTTCGCACCAAAGAGCGAGGTAAACCCCTCCCCCCGAACCCCTGGTGGGAAAAATCCACCCCCAGAACCCCCCTGTCCCCACTTCCTGTGTTATATGAGAAACTAAATTTAAACTAAAACCAGACAAACGCAAAATCCTAATTGATGAATACATCAAACAGTAAACAACAACAAACAACATGGCGTCCTTTTTGCATTTCATTATTTTTTTGCAACAAAAAATAATTGTTCAAAAATAGAAGTTTACATACTAATTATAGTAAATTTCTATGTTAAATTTACAATTACTTATTAATTTATGCTGTTTAATTCAATACTGCGAAATTTTTTTTTAATTTTTTTGCGTTATTTAAAAAAAATACTGCAACAACCAAACGCTGTGCTTTCCTAACCTACAAAACCTGTTTCTTATCATATGTTTTCGAATATTTCAATAATTTTTATTATCAAAACTACAAGTTTCCTAAAGCTAATATTTTAGGATTAGACTGCTAACTATGTAATCTATTCACCATATTAATTTCAACTCTCAACTCGTGCGATGGTAATGTACAGTTGAGCCTCATTCACTAATAACTTTTAGGGCTCATAGGTTGAGTTTGTTTAACAGTTTTCTTCACACAATCTACTCAGAACCAAATAGATGATTAGGTCAGGTATATGCTTCGATTGCAGATGTATGTAAATGTAAGTATAGATCCAGGCACAAAAATGTGACGATGAAATGTGACCTTTATATCAGACGTCCGAAAGCAATAAAAATAAATTGTAATTCACCTGTGCTTCAACGACTGTGTTTTGCAACGCCATAATTTCTTCAACTCCCGTAAATTTCTCATATTTAGACACTAATTCTTGCACTTTCTTCGATATCGTGTCAGTTTTAAATTTCTCCGCAATTTCGTTTACCTTTACGGCGGGACTGTACTTCGTTAAAATTTGGTCAACTTTTTCTCGACTACCAATTGATACCTGAGGCAAATGGACTTTGTCCTTAAGCCTCTGTGCCATAAGACGGAGCTTGTCGAGTTTCTCGGCCATGTTTTCATGTTCCAATTATTGTTTTAATAAGAATTAAAGGTTTACTAACATTTTTTACGCGAAATGATCTCGACAGAAAGGAATTTGACCGTCTGACGGAAGGTTTTGACATTGACAGTTTTTATAGATTCGTTCAGTTTTACCGAATTATGTGTTCGGATAAATACTGATTATGGCTATTTTGGAAAAGAGTATTTTTTGTAATAATTATTTATTGAGCAATGGGCAATCAGCTTAAAAAGGTAACAACTAACTATGAAGCTTAAAACGTTTAATGAAATGAAACTGTTTTTTAGGATCTAAATCGCTATATTTGTTTTTTAAAACAAACCAACGTTTCAGGCCCTTTACAGGTCTCATGGTCACGGGATTCACGGGTAAATTAAAACAATAAAATAGTAATAATAAAATTGTTTATTGAATAACTAATTATGCGAATAAATGTAATATATAACACATATATCTGAACTAGGAGAATCCTGTATTTCAGGTAAAAAATACTAATTATACAGGTGAATTTATGATGATTAAATTATAAGCAAAGAAAAAATTAAATATAAACAAAACAATAATAATAATTAAACAATGAAATGCAAATCATATACCTATTACGCTTAAATTAGACAACGTTTATTTTGGGAAACATAATAAACTTTAAATAAAAATTGATTCGTTCTTAAATTTAGATTGTTACAGAACAACAAAAAAGATCGCCATTTTTTTCTTATGATACATTTTTGTCTTGTTACAGCTATAGGTATGAAAGTAATAAAAAATAAAAGAAAATTCTTTGGAAAAGTCAGCAGCAATTTTATTTAATACGACAAAAATTTGATTATAATTATTTTGTTATTTCTTTAAACATTAATAACAACTTCTTAATCTCACACAAAAAAATACCAGGTAAGTCGTACCTACTAATAGCAAGTAATTAAGTTGAATTTCTCATACAGAACATTGAAAAAATTATCGAAATTCTTTGTTTTGTATTATTTAATAACATTTAAACAAATGTATGGAATATACTACCTTTACTAACAAGAGAAACAAAATAAGATAAACTCTTTTCATCCTTGATAAAAGTTGCAAAACACAAATCAACCCGCCAATCAGAGTTTATTTAAATAAATTAAACTCCTAACATAAATCTAATTACACGCATAATACATACGTTATAAAGGTATGGCATACGCATCCGACTTGCCCTTGGCATGTATGTGGCTGTGTATTTAAAATGATGCACAAAATTACTTTAGAGGGCCAGTGTCAACGTGAACATTAACTATATGTTAACTAACTGGTGGTTTACTCTTACATATAAAACTTCACAGGTATGCAGGGTGTAATAAAAAGGGGTAGTAATGCTTTTTGTGTGTGAATATCTACAACATTGCAGTAGTTAGGCTTTAGAGCAGTTAGATTTCCGCCACAATGTGAATTTTAATTCCATGTGAGAGTGCCGATAGAATATCTGTCGAGTTTCATGAAGGAGTAGTTTTGGCCGAAGGGTGTCGTATATTGGCTATTTCGTGGTACTCCTCGATCTTTGTGATTTAAAGTCAAAGTCAAAGTCAAAGATCATTTATTCCGTAGGTAAAATAAATTTACACTTGAAAACGTGACATTTAAGCTACTGCTCGTTCACTACGCTGACCTCCCTGAGAAGAACGAGGAAGTAACTCTAGGGATTGGTCTTTTCGAATATTGTTTGAATCAAATTTGTGTGAATTCTGGAGCCGTGTCGTCTTTCCATACATCTTTATCTAACACGTATTCTTCAATTTTGTAATATGACTTTTCGACCAAAATATTTTTAATGTAGTTTTTAAACTTAGGAAATGATAATCTTAATATATGCTCCGGAATCTTATTGTAAAAACGTATACAGTTCCCCATAAAAGAGGTTTACCTTGTTTAAACGAATTCGTGGTACCATAAGTTTGGACTTACTCCAAGGTTAATGTTATGGATATCTTCTTTCTTATTGAAATTATGTAGGTATATTTTTACGGGCATATAAAGTATTTGAGTAAATGTACTGTGTAAATGTACTTTTATCTGAGAGAAACCCGAGAGCCTAGACGGTACACAGAACGAATCGCTCGTTTTTGCAATACAAATATGGTTTGAATACCTGCCGGTTTACTCCACATGAGAATCCCATAGGACATTATTATATAATGTCCTATGGGATTCTCATGTGTCATTATTATATAATGTCCTATGGGATTCTCATGTGTCATTATTATATAATGTCCTATGGGATTCTCATGTGCGTACGTTTTCAAGTGTAAATTTATTTTAACTATGGAATAAATAATCATTTTGACTTTCACTTTGACTTTGACTTTGACTGCAACTCGCGCTCTCTCCGCGTAACGATCGCGTGCATCTAAGGGCGCGTTCCCACTATGTCGTCACGTTTTATTATCGTTTACGACTGTCGTGTCTAGCCTGTTCCCATATTACGACTATCTGTCCTGGACGTTTTTTTATCGTCTGACGACTGTCTTTCTAGCTGTTCCCACTGTAACGACAGTTTGTCGTTGTAATGATTAAAAATCGTGAACGACAGTTAATCGTGTCGTGCTATATGTGAACAACTTCATTTAAATATACAAGTCACGACACTGTAAACTGCACGACAGTCTGCCGTCACGACATAGTCGGAACGCGCCCTGACTGTCATGGCAAAATATGCTCTAAAGATTTTACATTTTAACTTAAATGAGCTTCCTGAACGCGCGGCGTTAACGTGGCGTCCGCTCGGGGCAGCGTGTCGTCCACGCGGCAACCGCCTGATTGTATTATTCCGAGGAATTTAAATGTTGTTGTCTAGTAAATAGAATTCAGATTCGCCATCAACGTACGTGAAAGCGTGGTAACCGGGAGGTAACCGCGCAGCGGCGCGCGAAAACTTTTGCGTCTAGTAACTGGGCGCTTATGGGCAGGTGTGTCGCTTACCGCCAGGCGCGCGATTTCTTCGTCCCGTCACTTATGTCAATTTATAAAAGAAAAATGTCTTAAATTTCGATTTTCATTCAATCTAGCGGGTAATACTTACTAAATTCTTCTTTACATTTGTGGAATTCCATGACTTTGTTATAATTATATGTCTTGTATGTTTGTGTCCCTTGAATAAAATAAAACAGAAAGTTTGAAATTGCCGTTTTAAAATTCTGGCCACTTTGTTTGTATTTTGACGACTCTAAGCGCGTAAAAGTATAAAAGATAAATTACATTTCAATTTGTTACAAATTCGTTTAGCTTTCAGGAAGGAAATTTTGAATAAGATTAACGCTGTTTTCATAAAGGTCGGCTCCACTGCCGAATTGCTGTAGTAAGTACCACAGCGCAGCGTGCGTGTACAGCCGCTAGCATGGCAAGGTATCAAACTAATTCTGTATTATTTATTATTAATACAAAGGCCGAATACAAAGAAAAATTACTTTGATCGATTCGTCGAATTTTTCTTTGAGATCGATCTTTATATTAATAATAACTTAGTTTTTTTCCTTAATGAATGGCTTGTGAGATTACTTAGTCTCAATTCTGCCAGAGTCCGTTTTCTAGTTTCATAAACGTTATGGACGGTGTGATAGAATTTTGTTCGGTGACTCAGAGGGAGAATCGAAGAGATTTTTGCATAAATTGAATTCTAGAACAAAAGAGACGGCACAAATTAGACAACACAAGTCGTTAGAAACATGTATGTATATTACATACGAGCCCTATACCTCACCTACGGTGGGGTCGGGCTCGGGGTGTGGTTATGCTCTTCGTTGGCACAGTGATTAAGTACAATGGGCGCTTGATGAGGAGGTTCCAGATTCGATCCCTGATTTGAACCAAAAAAATATTTTTAAACTGGTTCTGGTCAGGGTATTCCGGGTATTGCCCTCAGAATTATCGTTACTCTGGTACTCACAGTACAGGAAATTCCCTACTTTGAAATCAGTAATTTGGAGTGATTGTCTGGCATTTTTTCCTTAAACTTCTCTTTTTGGCAAAGCTTCCAACACAAAAGACTCTAACAGAGAGACAGTCGAGATACAACAACGCTATAAGTATCTTCTTTATTCTTCTCTATTATTTCCACTACATCGGGAAATATGCCTTACATTTTAAACAATTGTGAAATCTTGTACCGTAATAGAGTCTCCGTATACTACCTACGTAAGGTGGCGTGTGGACGCTTCGGGCTTCGCCCCCCGCTACACCTCGGCCTACGGCCGTAAAAAGTAAATTTTGACAGCAAATTATTATTAAACACCCATAGAGATCCCCACATGCAAATTTTCAGCTGAATTAGAGCAAAATGTCATCAGCCGCCAAAAAACAATTCTATGGCAGCCATATTGAAAAATGGCGAAAAACCAATTTTGATCGCAAATTATTATCAAGCACTCCTGGACACCCCCATATGCCAATTTTCAAAGGGATTTGAGTAATTTTTTTTTCTGTCGCCAACGAACGCTTCTATGACGGCCAATTTGAAAATGGCGAAAAACAAATTTTGAGCACACATTATTATGTAGTGGCCTTCACATGCCAATTTTCAGTCGCATCAGAGCAAATCTCTTGCGGCAGCTATTTTTAACGGAAAAGCACTTTTATGGCAGCTATATTAAAATATGGTGAAAAGAAATTTTGATCCCAAATTATGATTAATGACTACTAAAGACCCTCGCATGCCAATTTTCAGCTGGATCGAAGCAAGTTTTAAAAAATAAATACTACAGAAATTTTCTTTGTTTTATTTTTATTTTATAAATGTACGAAATTAATATATCTATATAAAATTCTATATTTTCCCATCTCTTTATATTCGCAATCCAATTAACACTTTGTCCGACTTGGGAAATAGAAATAGAAATCATTTATTCCTTGAATAAACAGTTAGTTGTGTATACAATAAACAGTGGGACTGGAACTCTTACCGTACCCTATCATGTACGCTTGTAATACCAGTAGCATTACTCTGTCGTTGAGAA